CTTATGTTGGTGCTTGGTCATGGTGCCTTGGTCGGTTTGGTAGTGGCTAGCTCGGTCGGATTTGGCTGGTGCATGGTGCCTTGGTCGGTTTGGTGGTGGCTGGCTCGGTCGGTTTTGGTGGTCTTGGTCTAGGTGCGTCTGTGGTGCTAGTCCTGGTCTTGGTGTTGGTGCCATGGTGCTTGATCGTGGTGCTTATCTTGGTCTTGGTCCTGGTGAGTTCTCGGCACGGTCGGATTTGGTGCAGTGCATGGTGCCACGGTCAGTTTTGGTGGTCTTGGTCTTGGTGCGCTATGGTGTTGGTCCTGGTGTTGTTCCTGGTGCACGGTGCTTGATCATGGTGCTTATCTTTGGTGCTAGTCGTGGTGATTTCTACGGCACGGTCAGTTTGGCTGGTGCATGGTGCCTCGATCGGTATGGTGGTGGCTGGCTCGATCAATTTTGTGTGCGGTCTTGGTCTTGGTGCGCTATGGTGCTTGGTCCGGTGCTAGTCCTGGTGCTCCGGTGCTTATGTTAGTGCTTGGTCATGGTGCCTTGGTCAATTTGGTGGTGACTAGCTCGGTCGGATTTAGGCTGGTGCATGGTGCCTCGGTCGGTTTGGTGGTGGCTGGCTCGGTCGGTTTTGGTGGTCTTTGGTCTTGGTGCGTTTGTGGTGCTTGGTCCCGATCTTGGTGCTTGGTGCCATGGTGCCGATCGTGGTGCTTATCTTTGGTCTTGGTCCTGGTGAGTTCTGCAGCACGGTCGATTTGGGCAGTGCATGGTGCCACGGTCGGTTTTGGTGGTCTTGGTCTTGGTGCGCTATGGTGCTTGAGTCCTGGTCTTGTTCCTGGTGCCTTGGTGCTTGATCATGGTGCTTATCTTGGTGCTAGTCGTGGTGATTTCTACGGCACGGATCAGATTTGGCTGGTGCATGGTGCCTCAATCGGTTTGGTGGTGATTGGCTCGATCAATTTTGTGTGGTCTTGGTCTTGGTGCACTATGGTGCTTGGTCCGGTGCTAGTCCTGGTGCTCCGGTGCTTATGTTAGTCTTGGTCATGGTGCCTTGGTCAATTTGGTGGTGGCTCGGCTCGGTCAGATTTAGGCTGGTGCATGGTGCCTCGGTCGGTTTGGTGGTGGCTAGCTCGGTCGGTTTTGGTGGTCTTGGTCTTGGTGCTTGCTGTGGTCTTTGGTCCGGTCTTGGTGCTTGGTGCCATGGTCTTGATCGTGGTGCTTATCTTGGTCTTGGTCCTTGTGAGTTCTACGGCACGGTCGGATTTGGTCGGTGCATGGTGCCTCGGTCAATTTGGTGGTGGCTAGCTCGGTCAGTTTTGGTGGTCTTGGTCTTGGTGAGCTATGGCGCTGGTCCGGTGTTGGTCCTGGTGCACTAGTGCTTGATCGTGGTGCTTATATTGGTGCTTGGTCCTGGTGAGTTCTCAGACACGGTCGGATTTGGCTGGTGCGTGGTGCCTCGGTCGGTTTGGTGGTGATTGGCACGGTCGGATTTGGCTGGTGCATGGTGCCTCGATCGGTTTGGTAATGGCTGGCTCGATCGGTTTTGTCTGGTGCATGGTGCCACGGTCGGTGTTGGTGGTGCTTGGTCTTGGTGCGTTGTTGTGCTTGGTCCGGTCGTGGTCATGGTGCCATGGTGCTGATCGTGGTGCTTGTCTTAGTCTTGGTCCTGGTGAGTTCTCTAGCACGATCAGATTTAGGTCGGTGCATGGTGCCTCGGTCGGTTTGGTGGTGGTCGGCTCGGTCGATTTGGTAGTCTTGGTCTTGGTGCTACTGTGGTGTTGGTCCGGTCTTGGTCCCGGTGTCATGGTGCTCGATCGTGGTGCTTATCTTGGTCTTGGTCTGGTGAGTTCTACGGCACGGTCGGATTTGGGCTGGTGCATGGTGCCTCGGTCGGTTTGGTGGTGGCTGGCTCGGTCAGATTAGAGTCGGTGCATGGTGCCTCGGTCGGTTTGGTGGTGGCTGGCTCGGTCGGTTTTGGCTAGTGCATGGTGCCACGGTCGGTTTTGGTGGTGTTGGTCTTGGTGCGTTGTGGTGTTGGTCCGGTGCTTGGTCCTGGTGCGTTGGTGCCGATCCACGGTGCTAATCTTTGGTCTTGGTCGTGGTCGGTTAGGTAGCACGGTCGGATTCGGTGTCATGGGTCAAATTTTATTTTCCCAGTGCCAATTTCATATTGTTTGCACCAATAAACTTAAATTAGACCCCTCAATATACTTGGGAAAGTGTTGGGGCATAAGACATCCATATTGAAGCCTTTTTTCAAACTTGGGTGTTGCCCGCTTCATATGAAAAATCATAGAAATTCAATGCTTTGTCCGATTGAAATGAAATTTGGAGGGTAGCTTGGAAATATTAATATGGGATTGCATGCAAAAAATCGCATCCAAATTCGATCTCTAGATACCATTTTCCATTTTTCCCGATTTTTCGCATTTCGGCACTTTGAAAAATAAAAATAAAATACTTCCCATTTGATTTAAATTCCCAGCTTTGGGGAACAGGGTTATGTTATTTT